GGTGGGATGGCATTCCTCCATCCCAGCGGGAGCTGCCAGCGGCTCTGCATCGCAACCCAACCTTCAGCGAGCTCCAGAGGAGAGAAAACCCAGCAAAATAAAGCAATCCCAAAGAGAATAAAGCAGCTGCTCTATTCTGTGCTGTGGGACGGGGCAGCAGTGTGGGTGTGAGGGGCTGTGACACAGCACAGCTTTGCAGCTCTGCTCCCCAAGTGCCCGTCCCGGGGGCACAGCAGCTGGGCTCGGGTGCCACCAGAGCCTGGCACGCCGCAGAGGTGGCTGTGCCTGCCTGGGTCCCTGTCCCTGGGGAGTCACAAAGATTTGGCACCCAGGGTCCCCTCACGGTGTGAGACCCCACAAACCCCCACAGCTCCCAGCAGCTGCAGTCCCCTCACACCCAGGTGCCAATTCAGGTGCCACCAAAGCCACCAAACCTCTCCAGGGTCAGAATGACTGATTTGGGTTGGGAGGATCTCAAAGCCCCTCCAGTGCCACCCCTGCCATGGCAGGGACACCTCCCACTGTCCCAGGGTGCTCCAATTCCCGATGTCCATCGTGGCTTTGGACACTTCTAGGGATCCAGGGGCAGCCACAGCTGCTCTGGGCACCCTGTGCTGGGACCTGCCCACCCTCACAGGAGAATTCCTAATTTCCAATGTCCCATCCAGCCCTGCCCCCTGGCAGCTCCTGTCCTCCCCGTCTGTCCCCAGGGTGTCACAGACCCCTCACACTGGGTTGACTCGGAGCTGTTGGTGCTGAAGGCTCAGGGCACTGAGGGGATGTGAAGCTCTGCCTCATCTCTGTGTTCTCCCTTGTCACATCCCCAAAAAGTGCTCCAGGACGCCAGGCTGCCTCAGGGGAACTGGGGAGACCCAGGTCAGCACTGGACATAATAATAGAACAAAGGGGAACAGTTTTAAACTGAAAGAGGATTTAGATGGGACATTGGGAATTGGGAATCCTTCCCTGTGAGGGTGGGCAAGCCTGGCACAGGTGCCCAGAGCAGCTGTGGCTGCCCCTGGATCCCTGGCAGTGCCCAAGGCCAGGCTGGACAGGGCTGGAGCAGCCTGGGACAGGGGAAGGTGTCCCGGGATGGACTTTAAGGTTTTCCTAACGCGGAGATTCTGGGGTTCCGTGAGCTGCAATATCGGAGCTGTCCCTTAGAGGTCAGCCCAGCACCAAACCTGCCCCAAATTCCCCGCAGGTTTCTGCAATCCCTGCCCAGGGCTGGCGTTTGGTTACCAAACCCTTCAGGGTGGGCAGGGACGGTCCCCAGCGCCTGCACCCCTCCCCTCAGTGTTGCCAAAGGATATTCCCAAAATCTGAGCTCTCCCAGGTCCTCTCCTGCTCCATTCCATTGTGCTCTGTGTCTGCCCCACCCGGGGGATCGCCCTGCCTGGGGAAAGCCTGGCCAGCTCCAAATTTTGGGGAGCAGGATGACCTGGTCCTGCTGCTACTGCTGCTGTGAAATTTGCCGTGCCCAGAACAGCCAGGACAACCCCCCAGAGCTTTTCCTTACGGCTGAATTCCTCCTTCCCTCCTCTATTCTGACAGACAAATGCAACTCAACAAAGAGACACCCTCCCAGAAAATAAAATAAAAATAGCCAAAAAACCCCTCCACCCACAGCTCCTGCATCAGAAAGAAAATTACTCTTCTTTCTTTGTTGTTTGTCTTTTTCTTTCCCAAATCCCTCCAGCATTAAACAGATTTCAGCATTGTTCTAAAAATAGAGGGATTAGAAATAATCCTCCAGCATGGAGCGACTGTGGGGATGTGGCACCCAGGGCTGGGGCCTGCCCTGGGGGTTGGACCTTGGGCTGAGCTGGGGAACCCCCAGGAACCCCCAAAAACGGTGAGGTGGGGGCACTCTGTGTCCCCAGGACAGGTATCCCAGGATTGTCCCTGCTGTGCCACCAGCTGGGAACTGACCTCATAAAATCAGCTGGGGATGGGATGGGATGGGATGGGATGGGATGGGATGGGATGGGATGGGATGGGATGGGATGGGATGGGATGGCATGGCATGGCATGGCATGGCATGGCATGGCATGGCATGGCATGGCATGGCATGGCATGGCATGGCATGGCATGGCATGGCATGGCATGGCNGCATGGCATGGCATGGCATGGCATGGCATGGCATGGCATGGCATGGCATGGCATGGCATGGCATGGCATGGCATGGCATGGCATGGCATGGCATGAGCTCCACTTGATCCATGGAAATAGGGAACTAAACCAGTTGCCCCAGGGGTGACAGGTGACACACAGGTCACCAGGCCATGGCAGAGCTGTTCCCTGCAGCCTCTGGGCACAGGAGCCTGAGGACCCTGGCAGTGCCACAAACCCCTGGTGTTCCCTCACAGAGCAAAGTTGTTGTGTCGGTGCTTTTCAAATCACTTTGGAGAAAAAAGAGGAAAAAAAAAGAAACACTTCAAAGTGTGAGATACATTCCTGTGATGACAAGCGACTTCCAGGGAGGTTTTGTCTGCAGGAATTTGTTTGCAGCAAACGAGTCAATTTGTGTTTACAAGGAGGCAATTAGAGCTGAGGGTTTGAAGCGTTCCCAGTGGGATGGGCCATCCCAAGAGCTGATCCCGCTGTCCTCATCATCACCAACGCTCCACTGCCACGTGCAGCAGTGGGAAGGTGCTGGGGGAAGGAGAAAACAACCCAGGGCCAGGTGAAATCCATCTCCTGTATCCCCTGCATCCATCCCTGCCAGAGCTGGGGTGCAGCCAAGGGGAATATTCCTCTGGCACCACGGAAAACTGGGAATTAAACACCCCCAGGCATGAGTCAGGATCCCCTGGATAACCCCAGCCCCTGCCAGGGAACCCCAGCTTTGCCAGCACCTCGGAGAAAATGCCCCTGCAGCTTCTGCAGGCTCAGACCTCAAAGTGGGATGTGGAAAGGCAGCCCCGGGGCTTTGGGGGATGTTCTTTAAGCCAGGAAGGATTTGGGATGCAGAGAGGGTGCCTGGGATAAGGGCCCAGCAGGCTGTAGGGAGGCTGGGTGGGATCACAGCTCCAGACAGGGAGTTTGAAGCCTGAATTTTGAGCTCATGGCCCAGGAACCCTCAGGCACAGCACACTCACCCCTACCCAGCCTTTCCACAGTTGTTTTGGCTCCTCTGGCAGACTTTTCCAACCTTGGCAGTGCTGAGCCAGCCCTGCCATTTTCCCAGCTGATTGTCTTCCAGGCTCTTCCCACGTTTAAAATGGAGGAAAATCAGCAGAGCTCATCCATCAGCTCCTGCCCTCTGCCCTTGCCCTGCCTGGGCAGCTTCCTCCCTCCCCGAATTCCCCAGGGTTTTTCAGGATCCCATCCCCACCGGAGCGCTGGGCTGGTGGCCCCTGCCCCGTGCTGGTCCCTCTCTGCTCTCTGTCAGGGGTGGCCCCAGCTGCTGCCATTGTCCCTTGCTGTCCCCATGCTGGGGAGGCTTCCCGGGGACAGAGCAGGGATGGAGCTGCCCCAGGCCCCCTGCCCCAGCTCCAGTTTGGGGTAAAAGCCACCAGAGCTGTGACCAACACGAGTGTCACACAGCTCCTCCTGCGCCACACCAACCTTATTTAAGCCCAAAGGAGAAGCCACACCCTCTGCACCGGAGCTTTGGGAGCTGCTGGAGGCTTCTCCCAGAGGCCCCAGAGTGGAACCCAGAACCTCTCGGCAGGCTGACCCCAATGGCAGTGGCTCCACCACAGCTTCACAGCCCCAGTCCCTCACTTCCCTGCAAGGAACAGGCAAACTCCTCAAGTTTGTCCTAAATATCCTGGCAGGACAGCGGGATGAGGGGGGTAATTCCCAGCTGAAATGCAGCAGAAAACAATATAGTGAAATAAAAATTTTAAAATACTTAACAGTATATGGATTTAAATATTTAAAAGCATATATAGAAAATATATATAAATATGTCATTATATATGTTTATATAAACACATATTTATTATGTATAAATATCAAAATATTTTAAAGCATATCTATTTAAAAGCATACATATACAAAAATAAATATATGTAATTATATATTTTATATATGTATTATATATTAATCGATAAATACTAAAAAATACTAAGAAGCAACCACTGCTCCAGGGGAGAGCTGGGTTGGGGCAGACCTGAGCCCTTTCTGTGGGGTCACAGGGGGAGGTTTGCACTGGGATGTTGGAAAAGCTCCTCAGGTGCCTGGAGAGTATCTGAAGGCACAGGAAGGCTTTTCCAGCAGCTGCTCAGCCACATCTGCTGGCCCAGGAGCAGAACCCGTGGCCAGGGCACAGCCTGTTTGACTCTGAAATGAAGCAGGGACAGATCCAGGATGGGAAAAAATCTCCACGGTGCAACCCTGGGGAAGCTCTGATGGAAGCTCGGCATTCCCAGAGAGGGTGTGGAAGAGCGGGAGGAGGTTTGGGGCTGCAGGAGGGGAGGAGAGGCTCGCAGCCCCCAGGGCAGAGCTCTGCCCGCCCCTCCAGCCCGATGGTGGCCGGGATCTGCGGTGGATGGAGGGGGAAAGGACAGAGCCTCCCCAGGGCTCATTAACAGCGCAGCTCATCAGGCCCTCCAGATAATTACAGCTTCTCACAAATTCAATTTCTGCCTGGGGAGGGCAGGACTCTTCTCCCGAGTCTCCCAATGCGTTTGGAAATCCTGGGAGGCACTTGAGGAACACAATCAGCAGGATCCAAGATAAAACCATCCCTGCCAGCCCTTCTCTGCCATTCCAGGGATGTCCCAGCCAGGGAATCCCTGCTCCCTGTGGAGCTGGAACCCAGAGAAGAGAGAAAATCTGCCTTGGAGCCTTAAAGGATTGATAATTCCCAGGGCTCATTTAATGATGATTTGAGGAGTCTTACCCTGTTCCAAAGGGTCTCTGTTGCCTTCTCCCATGGAAAATTCCACCTCAGTGGCAAATAACCAACAGACAAAGAGGAAGGGAAAGAAAAACATTAAATCAAGGATAAAATAAACATGAAAACACCAAACCACCAGCAACATCCAATGTTCTCTAAAAATCTGCAGTTTATTCATTAGAATTCAGTGAAAGGAACATTCATTTTAAAACACAATCAATACATTAAAAACTTGAAAGGACTAGTAGCAATGAGACCAGGAAGGAAACAAAAAAAAAACAAATTCAGCCAGGTTGGCCACCTGGGAGGAGCTGCCAGCCTGGCAGCGGGATGGGGCAGCTGAGGACAAGGGCTCAGTCATTATTTCCTTACAACTGAGAGGCTTTTTGGGATTTTAATTTCTCACTTCACCCAAATGGAGCTTTGGGGTGACTCAGTGTGGGTGAGAAGAGCATGACACCCCAGCTGGAGAGGAGGGAGCCCAGAATTCCAGGGCAGAGGGAATGTGGAAGGTGGGTCTGAGTGCCCCAGGAATGTTCAATGAGAAACCTTCCCGTCCATCCCTGTGGGGAATGGGGCAAACCCAATCCAGAAAAACTTTTAGAAGCACCATTAGGTGAGAAGTCATTAATTAGAATACAAAACAAAAAAAAAATCTCTGCAGAGTCAAATCAGTGACAATTGCCACCTCTACTGAGGGAAAAAAAACGGGGGGAAATCTGCTTTGGGCTGGATTTTAGCATTCCAGAAACTCTCCTCTCCTCTATCCCAAAGTTCAAGGCAGTGTCATTCCAGGGAGATGTTTCAGTGATCCAGAGCACAGGGCTGGAGCTCCCTGGAGGAGGGAGGAGGAGGAGAAGGGGGAAGCCCTGCTAATTCCAGGATTATTTAAGGAGCAATCCTCAGGCACCAGGGTGAAATCCCAGCTCCCAGCTCAGCCAGGGAGCACCGAGGGGAGAGAAAACCTGTCCAAGAGCATTTCCATGCACCAGCCAACAGCATCTCCTGCACAGGGATTGAAGAAAAGCCCCAATTTTAGATAAAATAACATCAGCAGACAGCGGGAAAAGCCTCAGCTGAATCCTGTGGGCTTTTTAAAAACACTTGGGAGGGAGAAATCACCAAAATCCACAAATTCAGATTAAAAACAACACTGAAAAGCAAAGAAGGGACAGCTGAATGTGACAGAGGAGGGTTAAGGACATCTCAAGTGTGTGCAAAGTGTGGTTGTGAGGGGCTGGAGGGGCTGGGCAGAGGCCCCAGCACATTCCCAGGGAGCGGGGTGGGATCTGGGCATGGCAGCAGCAGGAACGGCCTTTTATCCACGGGAAAAGCAAACCACACCACTTGGAAAGACAAGACACACGAGTAAAAGAACAGGCTGTAAAATTTCCCCATGATTATAAAATGCAAAACTATACAAAAATAGAGAAAATCAACCGTTTTCTTATATGTATAAAAACAAACAAACAAACAAACTAAAACCCCCAAGTCCCCAGAATGGAACCCAGAACCTCTCGGCAGGCTGACCCCAATGGCAGTGGTTCCACCACAGCTTCACAGCCCCAGTCCCTCACTTCCCTGCAAGGAACAGGCAAATTCCTCAAGTTTTCCCTAAATATCCTGGCAGGACATTCTGCTGATCCTGACTTTTCCAAGTGGTTTCTGGTTGGGAAGTCCTTTTGCATAAGAAGCCTCAGTGACCACCCCCAAATGTGAGCTCCTCAGGTAAGGCAGTGTTGGACTGACCCAGCTCCAGCCCAGGTTTGTTCCCATGGATCCCAAGTGGGGTTTTTTGGGAAGAGTGGCTCAGCAGGCAGTGAAATCCAATCCCTACTGCAGTGATCATTTACAGGCTGAATTACTGCACCAGAAATTCCAATTTCTTTGGGTTAACGGGGCAGAATCTGCCAATAATCCAGCAAATTAGTGACTAAACTGCATTAGGAAAACTCATTTGAATTCCAGAGACATTTGCCTCATTGAATTCCCATCGAATTAAGAGGAGAAACCTTTGGTATAAAGTCAGATTACCAAGCCTTGGCTGTATTGCTCCCACTGAACCTCCCCACCTCGTACCTACACCCAACCCCAGGATCCTATGGACACCTTGGAACATTCATTTAGCACCCAGACATTCCCAGCCCTCAGCAGGACTTTGGCTGAACAAAGCTCCAGAGCCTGGAACCCCCGAGATGCCTTTGGTGAGATGCTGAAAGGAAATAAAACAGGGATTAAACCCAGCCAGGGGCGTGAGGGGGTGACAATGTCCCTGTGGTGTCCCCAGCAGGGTGTGCCCGTGGTTTGTGTGCTGGGAGCGGGGTGAGATGGGCACAGAGCTGGCCCTGTCCTTGCTCCAGGGAGGGATATCCAATGTTCATTAGCAGCTGTGCTAACGAGGGGAGACAACCTCCCAGCGAGGGCAGCTTCCCCTGGCTCACCACATTCTCCTCTCGGGGTGTGGCAGTGGCACCAAGAGCCAGGTGTGTCCCAGGAAATCCTCTCCAGTGTCCCAGAGGGATGAGGGAAAAGAGCCATGGCACGGCAGGTTCCCGTGGAACTCCCTGCAGCAGGCTGGCAGGAAAACATGGAAAAATTCAGGTTTGAGCCTGTGGATGCACAGATAGATCAGCTCTGCCTTGGCAGAAAAATCGCATCACACACAGAGGCTGAACCAAGCCTGGCCCTGCCCTTCCCAGACATCCAAGGACAGGGCAGAGGAATCTTTTCTCAAAAGGAATATCAAGACCTCATTTTGCTTGGTGGGGGGAAAAAAACCCATCAAACCCAAACCAGCTCCTTGTGCCTGGAAATCCAGGGATGGCAGGGAGCAACTGATGGAGCCACATCCATGTGGAGCAGGAGAGCAGCAGGAGAGTGACCCAGCAGGGCAGGACTCAGCAGGAAAATCGAGCCTGGCCCAAGCAGAGCCATCCCTCACTCCACAAATGTGGTAAAACTCCAGTATTTCTACTTTGGGATTTTTTTTTTTTTTTTAATGCTACAAAGTCTGCTGCAAAGAAAAATAGAGGAAGGGCAATGAGGTGGGGGGAAACAAAAATCACTGGTAACGGAATTAAATCAGAAGACAGAGCTTGGACAGGACAGGGAAGCAGCTTTGTGTCATGGCCTGGGGGTTTGGATCAGAGCTGAGGGGGTTTGGGATCACAGAGGGACCAGGAGCCTGGAACAGATGTCACAGGAGCTCACAGGACAGAATCTGTCCCCTCAGCCTGTGTCCCTCCTCCACATTCCTCCAAAGAGGCAAAAAAATCCCAAACCTCCAGCAGCTTCCAGGCTTTTTGTTCCCTCCAGACAGGAGGAGTGAAGCCCAATGTAGCTGCAGTCCATCCCAAATTTTGTGTTCCTTGGGGAACACAAAACTTTCCTCCTGTGGGTTTATGCAAATAAAACAACTGTAAAAAAAATTAAATTAAAAAGCCACAAAGCTTCCTTTTGAGAAAGTAACATCATCTGCCACTTCACAGCTACAGGCATGATGCAAATTTAGCTTATTTCAAAGGCCTCATCCCTGTCCCCATGGCCCTGGAGAGGCCAGGAGCCCAGGACAAAGCCTGGGAAAGGTTTCAACCAGGAATTCTGCACTGTGAAGACAGACCACAACAAAGAAGGGACCAACACTTTGTTCTTCAAAGGGACACCATGGACAGCACATCTTTCTGAGCAAACTGAAACTAGACCTGGAGAACATTATCGGCACACACACAAAAGCTCCTGCTTCCCCCTTTGGGGCAAGGACAAATCCAATAAATAAAAACGTTGCTGCACAGTTCCCCTTTCCAGCTGCCCCTCCTTGCTCTGGAACAAGTGGCACCCTTCCTCCCAGCTCCCCACACTGAGCCTGGGCTGGAAGACATTCAAAGTGAGTCTGAACCAAAACCTTTCACCCAGAAGAGGAAAACAGCCCCATTTCCCCTCAAAAGTCTGCCCAAGGCCTGTTCCCCCAGCCTGCACAAACCCCAACCTGCCACACCAGCAACGGGTCCATCCCCAGCTTCTGCCAGGGGCTGCTGCTGCACTTGGTGCTGGAGGGGGCTGGAAAACCAGAAAGTGCCTCAGTGGTGATGAAGGAATCCTGAAGGCAGCTCCAAGCTACCTCCAGAGCATCCACAGGGGCAAGGCCACGCATGGCTGCAGGAGAGGAGCATCAGCCCAGCTCCAACTCAAGTCCTCCCCAAACTGCTCCACGTTTTCTTCCTCCCTTTGCTCCCCTTTCACCCCTGCCCAGAGCAGCCTCAGCACGGTGACATAGTGACATTCCTACAGCCTTTTGGCTTGGTGACAGTGACATTCTTGCAGATACTCAGCCTCGGTGACACGGTGACATTCCTGCAGCCCCTCAGCGGGTGACACGGTGACATTCCTGCAGCTACTCAGCATCAGTGACACTGCAGACGGTGCCACGGCAGCTGCCGTGCCCCAGGGTGGCCCTGCCCTTGAGGGGCTCAGTGCAGCACTCCGGGCTCTCGGTGTCCCCGCTGCTGTTCCCGGGATGCTGCGGCACACCCTGGGCAATGCCCACAGGTTTGCCCCTGGCACGGTGCTCCGGGGAGCAGGCAAAGCCAAAGCTCGGGGGCAGCTCTGCTTCTCCCAGGGGTAACAAGCAGGACAGCTTGGGGACATCCCCGTGGAAGAGAAAGGACCCGGCCGCCTCCCGGGCCCGCCTCGCCTCGGGCTGCAGGGGGAGGTTGGAGGGCCGGAGCGGGTGCCTGCTCAGCTCCGGCTCCTGGGGCCGCCTCTCCGGAGCCTCCCCGATGCCACCCCGGGAGAGAGGCAGGAAAGGGGACACGGTGTCTGGTTCTGGTGGCTCCGATGGCTCCCAGACACTCTCCACAGCGCCAGCCGGAGCGAAGTCCCAGAGCTCCATGCCGCCGGGAGCCGTGTCAGCGCCGTGCTGGAGGTGCCGCAGGCCCGGCCAGCTCGAGCCACCCTCGGGAGCCACCAGCTCACCCTCCTCCTTGCTCCTGCTCCTCCTGGCTCCAGCAGAGTCCTTCCTGCCAGTCTCATGCCTGGCCCAGAGCCGGCAGGGCTGGGGGCCGCTGCGGGTCCCCTGTGGCTCGGCCAGCTCAAACTCCAGGCTCTCCGTGTCCAGCGAGCGGCTCCTCCGGTCCACGGAGAGCGGCGCGGGCATGGAGGGGCTCAGCCCGTGCAGGCGCAGGTGGCGGGGCAGGCTGGCCACCCCCCAGTTGCAGCTCTGGAAGGAGCCCGGGGAGAAGCCCAGGGACATTCTCTCGTCACATTCAGCCAACGACTCTTTCTGTCCATAGCCATCATCGAAGGCCTCGGCGATGTCCTCGCCCGCGGTCAGCTCCGGGTGCTGCTCACACTCCCCTTCCCCGTCCTGCTCCACGTCCACCACATCGAAGGTGACCATGGTAGGGAGGGCAGGGAGGTTCTGGGTGAAGGAGGAGCTGGAGGCCGAGCTCCCCAGGCTCTCAGAGAGGCTGGAGAAGAGGGTCCCGCTGCTGGCGAACTCCACCAGAGCCTGCGAGAAGCTCACGGCGTGCTCGGGCTCGCTGCCCACCTGGGGCTCGCCAGGGGTGGGCTCTGCTCCGCCGCCGTGCTCCTGCTCCGGCAGCCTGAACCCAGGGAACATCCCTGCCTTGGCTGGGGACACACTGCCGTGGATGGAGTCCCCGAACATGCCACAGTCCAGGTCTGCATCGAACCCCGGGTTGTTCTTTGTGAGCTGAATAAGGCAATTTCCGGGGGCCTTTTGGCTGTTGTAACAGTTTTCCAGACACAGAGTCCCTGAAAAATCCCTCCACTCTGGATTTTCAGCCCTAGTCACTGCAACCCCACCATTGACAGCCCGGCTTGGGGTATGTGAGGCCACCTGCTCGCTCCCAAGGCCACTCTGACTCTTGCCAATGGAGCTGGCTGCTCTGGTTTTACATTCAATGCACTGCTTTTCCTGGGGACACTTCTTGCTGGAGACATCCAGGCGTTTCAGGACTGGCTCCCTCTGCAGCTCCCAGTACAGCAGCTCTTTCTGAATGGCTGCAAGCCCCTCTTCTTCAGTTTCCATCAGCCCTCTTTTCTGATCCATCATCTGCTGGATCAGGCTCTTCTCCGCAGGGAGGCAGAAGTCCATGAAGTAGCTGAAGATGCCCTGGCGTGGGACTTTGCCCTCGAACAGGGATTCCTCCCCATGAGAGGGGCTCATCAGGGTGTCAAACTCGTAAAGTGCATCGCCGCTGTAGCTGTCCCGGGGCAGTCGGTCCTTCTTGAGCTCCTCTCCAGCCTCATCGTCTGGCCCTGGCGTGGTGGAGTCGTAATACCCCTCGTCACTGTTTGGGGCAGACTCCTGCTGGTCACTCTGGGGAGTCAGGAGGTCAACACCATCCATGGCATCCCCCACGTAGGGGTGGGCGTCTGCCTCGTGAGAGGTGTGCGTCTCCAGGCTGCTGCTGGACACCTGGGCCCCGTAGCTCCTGTCCCCTGGCACGCCGCTGTCCCACACCTGGTGCAGGTACTCCTCAGCCTCCTCAGGAATGGCCATCTCCTCGCCGCCGCCCTGGTAGGTGACCAGGCAGGAGCTGCGTTTGGCGGCGTCACGGCTGCGCTCCACCGAGATGCTGCTCTCGGCGATGTCGGGCTCGGCGATGTCGTCCCCGCACCCCGTCAGGGAGTCAAAGCTCTTCAGGGAGGTGACATCCCCCAGCATGAGGCTCAGCAGGTCCCCGGAGTGCAGGCAGGGAGGTTCGCTGTCCATGAAGTCAGGGTGGAAGGCCAGCAGCAAACTCTCACGGTCAAACTCAGCGCAGGCAGCAGCCTCAGCCTCTGATTTTGTATCTGGAACGTCCCCATTCCCTGGCACGGCCATCGTGCCACCCTCGGAGGTGCCTCCATCAGCTGTGGGGCCCGTGGGCTCCGTGGCCTCACCACAGCTGGAGTCACCCCCCGAGTCCCCTGGGCCAGCTCTGGTCTCAGTGACTGGCCCTGCTCCCCTGCCCTCCACAGCCCCTCGGCTCTCCACTGCCGTTCCAGGAGCATTCCCAGCCTCCTCCGTGTCCCCGTTCCACTCGGGGAGCTCTGTCTTCTCACTCTCGGCAGCCTTGCTCTTCCGGTGGCGCCGGATGCTGTTAAAAAACCCTTTCAGCCCTTTTTTGGGTCTGGGGAAAGAGGGCTTTTTGTCACAGCCCTCGATACTCCCGGGGGGAGAGCCGTCCTGCTGGCCCAAATCCCCCCTGCTGCCGGTGTCCACGGCCAGCTGGGCGCTGCGGGAGCCGGGCAGGGGGCCGGGCTGCCCATCCCTGCTGCCCTCCGAGGGGCTGTCCGGCCCTGTCCCACCGCCCTTGTCACAGGCAGCGCTGCTCAGCCCGTCGTGGGTCTTGCACTTGCTGAGCCCCTTCTTGCCGCGGCCGCCGAAGAAGCTGGGCAGGGTGCAGATGCTGCGCTTGCCCCCGAACAGCTTGAAGGCCGTTTTCCGCAGCTTGCCGGGGGGCGGCTGCTGCGGCTCCGCTGCCACCACGGAGCCGTCGGCGCTGTCGGGAGGGGCGTCGCCGCCCTCCTGCCGCCGCTGCTCCCCTCCGTCCCGCTCCTCCGGGCTGCCCGTTTCCATGGCAGCGGGCGGGCTTGGATCTAGCTGGAGGCGGCTTTGGCAGCGCGGTGCTCCGGGCGCAGGGATGGACACATCACCGCCGACCTGAGGCACAGGGAGAGGGCACAGGTGAGGACACGGCAGCGGAAGGGGCACGGCTGAAGGCACCGGAGTCTCGGGGCTCCCTCACCGGCTGGAGGAGCCTCCAAAATCTCCCTCCAATTCCAAAATTCAGGCACCAGAATGTCGCTTAAATGTAGCAGTTAGCCAGAGCAGGAAAACCACACATCTCCCTCGGCTAGAATCCCTAGGGACGAGCAGGTCTGACCCCTGCACCTCCTCGCTCCATGCCCTAAAGCTTCCCAGATTTTTCACCTCCAGGGTGATCAGGTTTGGCTACCTTAAAGTGAGAGCTAGCACCTCCCAAACCACCTCCCAGCTCTCCCAGGCCTCATGCCAGGCTCCAAAGAGCATCCTGAGGGAGGCCAAACCAGGACACAGCCCCCCTACGCACGAGTCTGGGGAAAAACCACTTTACTTACTACCCTGGCTTTTTTAAATAGAAGATTTCAGTTGTTTTTAAAATAATCTGTCCAGCCAGAGAGAATCGCCTTAAAAACACCAACTGTGAATACCCTGATCAGATTATCCCAGAAGCAGAGAGGTAGGTTTGAAATTTGACCCTGGACTGCTGTCATGAACAGCAGAAATAAAACAATTATAATCACGATTCTCTTCCAGAGGTGAGGGTGGAGAAATTAAATGCAATAAAATCCTAATGTGCTCCCAAGCTGTAATGCCCCAGGCTGAGCTCTGACTGACAGGAGGCCAAGGAAACCTTCCCAAAGTGTTTAGCCAAAGATCCCAAATTAAAAATACATCCAAACGATGCTCTCTGCTCCTGCAGCCCCCCAGCAAACCTGCAATTCCAGGTTTATTTTTATTCCTCAGGTCTGGGTTGCTTTGCCTCTATACTGATCTGGCATCGCTGCGCTCAGAACAGCTGGGACTGGATGGGCTTCCAGGTCCCTCCCAACCCATTCCATTCCATGGTTCTGGAATCCTGGGATTGCTGATAACTCCTCACGTTCACCTGTCCCACTGGTGAAGCAGCAGCTGGGGCGTAGCTGGCTGGCACAGCCACCTCCCCAGTGGCAAACTGGGCTTTTCCAGCTCTGCCAGAGCCCACCACAAGTCCTAGGAGCCTCCAAAGCCTCTGCAGAGAGGGGCTGGGAGAAAGGCCTGCACTGGACACGTGTGGGGCTGCTGGAAAATGGGGGTGAAATGACCCCAAACCTGCACCTGGAATGGGGCTGCTGGAAAAGGAATGAAATGACCCCAAACCTACACCTGGAATGGGGCTGATGGAAAAGGAATGAAATTACCCCAAACCTGCACCTGGAATCGGGCTGCTGGAAAATGGGGGTGAAATGACCCCAAACCTGCACCTGGAATGGGGCTGCTAGAAAAGGAATGAAATGACCCCAAACCTGCACCTGGAATGGGGCTGATGGAAAAGGAATGAAATGACCCCAAACCTACACCTGGAATGGGGCTGATGGAGAACAGGAATGAAATGACCCCAAACCTGCACCTAAACTGGGGCTGATGGAAAAGGAATGAAATGACCCCAAAACTGCACCTGGAATGGGGCTGATGGAGAATGGGGGTGAAATGACCCCAAACCTGCACCTAAACTGGGGCTGCTGGAAAACAGCCGGGGAAGGGCACGAGACAGAGCCAGCATTACAGAAATTCCTTTTGGGAATCATTCCTCTCCAGCTCCACGTCAGCACCGCGGCACTGCTGCGGAGGGGAGGCTGGAGTAGGATAAAAAATAGAATAGATAAAAATGAAAGAAAGCGGAAATCAAGTACACCGAGGGCAAAGAGCCACGACCAACAGACCATGAAAGATAAGGTTTAAAAGCAAGAAAAAGCAGCACGGTAACAATGAAACGCAGCGTTCCACCCGCAGAGGAGCCCCTCAGGGACCCCCGCCCCGCACGGGGCCGCTCCCCCGGGCCGGCCCTCCCCGCTCCCCAACTTTCGGGAGGATCCGGGAAAACGCGAGGGGCGGGGAGGGGGTCGGGCCAGGCGGCGGGCGGCGCGGGGAGCGGCGGCCCCGGCCCGTGCCCGTGCCCAGCACTTACCGGCGGCGGCCCCGGCCCCAGACCCGGCCCGTGGCCAGCACTCACCGGCGGCACCGCGGCAGCCCCGGCCCGGCTCCGCTCCCGGCTCCGCTCCCGGCCCCGCTCCCGGCCCCGCTCCCGGTCCAGCCCCGGCCCGGCCCCGGCCGCGCGAGGGGCGCGGGGCCGCGGGTCCGCCCGGCGCGGGCGGCAGGGGCGGCGCCGCGTGACGGCCGGGGCGGGGCCTGGCGGGCGGGGCGCGGTGATTGACAGGGCGCGGCGGCGGAGGGGCGGGGCCTCTGCGTGAGGGAGGGCGCGGTCTCCACACTGGGCCCAGCGGAGCGGGCGGGGTCGCGCTGAGCGCTGGGCGCGCTCCCCGCCGTGTCCCCTCATGGCCGCCCCCGGTGTCCCCCCGGGGCCGGACCCCGGTGTCCCCTCATGGCCGGCCCCGGTGTCCCCTCATGGCCGGCCCCGGTGTCCCCCCGGGGCCGCCCCCGGTGTCCTCCCCGGTGGCCCGGGGCAGTGGGCGTGGCCTCAGGGCGCGCCCCGCCCTGGGGGCGTGGCCCCGTTGGCGGTTGATTGACAGGGGGCGCGGTCACCCCGGCGGGGGCGTGGCCTTGGCGCGGCAGCCGCGGGCCACGCGGGGTCACGGACACGGGGGGATGGCCCGGCCTGGCCTGGCCTGGCCTGGCCTGGCCTGTCTGTGACACCGCGGGGCCAGGGCTGTGACAGTGTGTGACCGGTGACACGGCGTGTTTGCCGTGGGACACCTCCCTGCGCCTGCTGTGTCACCCGCGGGCGTGTCACCCGCGCCACGCCGCTGCCACCCACCCACCGCTGCGCGGCTGCTCACACCCACAGCCCCACAGCCAACTGAGCAGCCCGGTAGGGAAGACCCCTCCCCATTTTTGGGACCCCCAGATCCCAAAAGCCCCTCCAATCTCCACGTGAGGATGACAACAAGGATGCCACGAGTGGGAACCACAGCAGGGCGTGGCAATGTCCCCGCGGGACAGCCTTTCCCAGCTGCCATCTCCTGATGTGCTCCTGAAGGCACCTGCATGGGGACCAGCAGCAGCAATGTCATCATGCCCTGTGGAGCTTTGTCCAGGCTGCTTCCAAGCCCTAATGCTGCCCTTGGGAGAGGCCCCACAGCCTCATTAATTAATAGATGCTGACGAAGAGATCCCACAACCCCTGACACAAGCCCGTAAATCCTGCAGGAAGGTGCCTGTGTTCGGCTCTGAGCCATGGAACATTTCCCTTTGGGATGGATCAGGGCAGGAAGGAATGAACCGTGGGACACCCTTCCAAAGTGCTCCAGAACACCACTGCTGGGTGGACGCTGAGCTGCCAAGGAGCAGCAGCATTGATCCATCAGTTCCTGGCTGTGGGAAGAGCTGGGAAGGCACCTCCAGCCCCACTGGTGAGGGCAATCCCGGTGTCCAGAACGGGAGGGATGGAGGGACACAAAGGTGGTGCTGGGATGCCCCGCTCCAGCCTGGAATTCCCCATGCACAGCCATTCCCTCTTCCCCTCCCAGCCATCCTGGCAGGGCTGCCCGACATGGGATATTTCACCAGACAGGCCACAACAGTTTCATACCAAGAACAGAACTCTTTTAATCCAAACCCCAGCCCTGCCCAGTCACAGAGCACCCTCGGCCACAACAGGAAGCACTTTTGGGGTGAGGAGATGATGTTTAGGGTCAGAGCTGGGGCAGGGAGAGGAGTGGGGCTGCTGGGCTCTGGATGCATCTCCCAGCCCCTCCTGTGCTGCCAGCTGGGAGTGCTGGGCTCTGCCCCCACTGGGGTGGGCACACACGGCCAGGGCCAGCCCCAATCCTGCCCCTCCCACGTGGAGGAGACACTTGGGAACTTCTCTGGGAATTGTGGAATCATGAGGGACCTCAAAGCCCATCCAGTGTCACCCCTGTCATGGCAGGGACACCTCCCACTGTCCCAGGCTGCTCCAGCCCCAGTGTCCAGCCTGGCCTTGGGCACTGCCAGGGATCCAGGGGCAGCCACAGCTGCTCTGGGCACCTGTGCCAGGGCCTGCCCACCCCCACAGGGAAGAATTCTCATTCTCACAGCCAAGAATTCCTCCACGCTCCTTCCCAGCCCCTTCTCCAACCAAAATCAGCTAAAGGTGTAAAATCCCTCAGTAAAGACGGTCTGAGGCAAACCGAGGGGGATCAGATCCTGCTCTGTGCTCTATCCTCTGCTGCAAATCAGGAGCTCAGGTCTCCTGTTCTTCCTCCACCTTCCCTTCTGTTCCCTTCCCACTTTTCCACATGGGCATTGCTTTCTGGAGACACCTCAGCAGCAAAAATGAAATTGTGACCACAAATTCCCAGCGGTTCTGCAGATTTCAGGGATTCACTCCGGGAGGTGGAGCAGGTTTTAATTGGGGCAGGCTGCGATCACAGCTGGTGCTGCAGGTATTTGGCCAGGGCTCTGGGGATCTCCAGCTCTCCAAGGGTGGCCGAGCAGCTGGGCTGCTTCAGGAGACGCCTCATGGCCAGCCGGGACTGGGACAGCAGGGATTTGGGATGAGCTGTGGAAGGAAAATCACATGGTCACCTTCAAGACACGCAACCCTGCCGCCCTCCAACCCAGCATTATCTGAAGGAAAGGGACATGGATTGAGCAAACCAGACAGCATTGGAACAAAATGATCTTTAGGTTCCTTCCAACCCAAACCATTCCATGATCCTATGAAAATTCCATGATCCTGTGAAAACTCAACCTCTGTGCTGGGGCTGGGGCTATGGACTCAGGCACAAGCTCCCACGAGGGCTGGGCATGGAGAAGAAATCTCCCATCCCCACATGGAAATAAGTGCAGGATTTTAGACTTGGGCAGTACAGGAGAGCCCAAGCTGAGCAGCAAAAAGAAGAGCAAGGGTGAAAAGCAGGGGGTAACCCAAGTGAGGGGAAACCCAGGCTGTGGGAACCACGGAATCACAGAAGG